GCTGGTGACAAGGCTGCAGGAACAGACTGAATCACACCATCTGTTTACTGCCATTTTCACTCAGTCAGCACACACAAACCAAGCACACACATAAAGGCATGTGCATGATATAGTTAAAAAATGAAGTCACCTTGTGAAATATAAAAAGAATTTCAAATTGTGGCGATGAACTGAGTCAAAAGGTCAGGGCTGAACTATGACCTTGAGAATAGCAATGTTCAGCGCCACTGCCAACAGCAACAAAAACATTTGCTGAAGCTTAAGCATGAAATGACAATGAGATCTGTTCCAGTGTCTATGGAGGACAACATCACATCTGGATCAGTGTCTCCACTGCTGCTGTCACTGTGTGTTTACAGCCAAGCTACTCACCTGGACGCTGCAGGCGTGCATGTGTGTGTGCACACCCGCAGCTCCTTTGTTTAAGGTAATCACATGCTCAGCGTGTGCTATACCTTGAAATAATCGCGCAAATGAGAGGCACGTGTGTGTAAACGCATGAAATGGAACAATAATGCACATATTGCATTTAAGATGCGACACACGCGGTCCAAACCCAGACACAATTGACCAGGAGCACAAAAGCAGACGTATAGTCAGTCATGCGACACACAGGCACAGAGTGGGCGGCGCTGATGTATCGGAGCTTGACGAATGATTGCGGGAGGCAGGCCGCAAACACGCATGGCCATCGCGCCTGCCAAATCGATAGAGATGACCAGTAAGGTGGAGGGATGATGGATGAACGGATGAACGCAGAACGAACGAGACAGAATGAAGGGGTGAACGGGGACACTAACGGCGGTGACGTGGTCATGTTGTTGCATGTCTGATCTGCAACACGTCCACCCACGTGAGAGCGAGGGAAAGGCGGGGGAGATAGACCAAAAGAAAGAAACAGAGAATCGAAATGAAGGAAGGACACGAGATGGAGGCGGTTCTAAAAGTAAAAGTGATGGAGGATGGGGAGTAGGGGGTGGTCCCATGGGTGTTCCTTGTGCAAACATGATAGACAATGGGATGAGGGCGTGTGTGTGTATATGGTATGTGTGTTTGCATTCGCATGCGTATACGTTTGATGAAACTCTCGGTAACAGCCATACGTCACACAAAGACTTCTGTTGTGGTGACAGTGATTAAAACGTGCTAAAGGCGGGCCTTTGTTTATCAGCATGCATGAGCGCATTACTACTAGGTGTGTGTGTGTGTGTGTGTGTGTGTGTGTGTGAGAGAGAGAGGTATGTAATTAATGATTGGTTGTGTTTGGAAGTCACTGTTCTAGTTAGGAGCAGAGTGATAGTGAAGGAACCTCGCTGGACGCTAATGAGGGTTTCAGAGGGACTAACACAACACACACACAGACACTAAAATAGGAGTAATGAACAAAGCAGGTGTAATAAGAGTGAAAAAGTATGGATCCCCCCTCCCTCTGTATTGTTATTTTGCCCTCCAACTCTCATCAACTGCAAATAATTTATCCTGTACTAGCCTATTCGAACAAAGGCGGTTACCCTGAGCACATTCACATATAATTCAAGCCTAATTGGTAATATCCCCACGACCCCACCCCCTCAGGCACAGGACTCCTATAGTGGCGACTCATTCACGTCAGTCATTCCCTTTCCCAGTCCCTCTATTGAATAGGAAACAATTCTTTAAAAATACTAGAACTGAATGACTTGCTCATGCATTCTTCTATAGATGCAAACAGTTAATAAATGATTAATGATTTTTAACCCAAACCATCATGGTGATCATGCACAAGGAAAAAGACCTGATGTGACCGCACCTCTGGGCATTATTACTGTATCACTGCAGATCTCCCCAGAGCAGGAGAGAGAATAACAGCCTGACATGCAGGTACTGTAATACACCTGCATCATACAGCTGCCAGCAACTGCGTAGGCAAAGAAAATGATACAAAAAGGAAGTTGAAACTGTGGCTGTGTGGGAGGGGAAAACTAGCATGCACAAAATAATCTTGAGTATGCGAGAAGTGTATGAGTGAGAGTGAAACATGAAATGGGCATTCCCAGCTTCTCCCCCAGCAAGGGGACGTCCCAGTGCATAGAACAATAATTGCTGGCACCCTTCGGTTTTTGCGTCAGCTGCTTTTAAATCTCACTACAAAGCAGACACTGAGATGAATAAATAGCATGAGAACCCCCCACCCACCATCAAAATGCGTCGAGGTGTGGAAAAATGCTCACTAGAGAGAGTTCGACCATGAAATCGAGCGTGCATGTGTGCTTATGAACGCCACACCACTGACCTGATTGAGACAGAGCATCCTAAAGACAACTGCTGCATAAGTTCAGACTGAAATTGATGCCGAATGTGACGGAGATGAAGACGGTTGAGTGGGAGTCTGCAGAAAGGTGGCCTACATTCATAACACATGCACGTCTGTCTTTTGTATGTCAGACACGCAGACCTCATTTTCCTTCCCCATTGAGGAAGTGACATGAAGAGCACACTCCCACAATTTCTGCTCAAGATGAACCAAAACTGCAGCTGGGTGCCTCAGGATGTGAAACCTCAAGAATTCATTCATTAGCCCATTGTAGTGCCATTCAAGTCTTAAAACACAGCATAATAAATCGGCCAACACTTTCATCGTCCTCAACAGTGGGCATCTAAAGCTGCACAGATTGCAGTCTTTCATAGGTTCATTCTCCGATTGTAGCCGACAGTGCTAATCTCTAGGGCTGTGCGATACTGAAAAAAAATGCGATACGCGATACCTTATTAAAAAATGCGATATTTGATATGCGATACGATATTGCTTACAGTGTGGAAAACGTTGACCTTTTGCAACGTTTTGATTTAAGTAGCCTATTATTAAAATGATTCAAATATCGCACGCCGTTGCTATATGCATATCGCGATATTCACATTTGCGATATTTCTGTGTTTTCGATATATCGTGCAGCCCTACTAATCTCTTTAACAGAATTACTGACAAAAATGTTTAGCGAAAGTTTTTTTTTTTATTTTGACAATGATACCGTAGGTGAGGCAAAAAAGATAATTGAATTATTTTAAAGCATACTGTTGATGAATATATGCAAGATTAATGCATTAATGTTTTTGAAGTAGAAAAATCTAGGTTTCAAAGACAGTTTTCAAACGCTATTAAAAATACTGAGGCATGTTAATATTAATATATATAATGTTTAAATATTTGGTTTAATTTGCACACTTTTAATTTAAATGTTATTTTTGTAGACAAAAATTAGATGCAATGTTAGTCCTTAAAACTGGATAAAATTAAATGACATGAAATATTGACTGAAATTTAAAAAAAAAACAAAAAAAACAGGCTGGAGGCTCTTTCTGTTTATGCTAACAATGAAGACAGCAAGATTGTTTGAAACTTTTTTTTTTTTTTAATTACACATTTAAGATTTGTTGTGACTGTTGTGTGCCTTAAAGTTCTCATTCCTAAGGTCACATGCTTAGAGATTCAAGATCCAAATGTATAGATAAAATGACATGTTGACTTTTACTTTCTACACAGTTCCGGATTCTTTGTGCAATCAAGACATCACAAGACAGAAAAAAGTAATGTCAAGGGAAGAAAAAAAAATGCACGCTCTAGAACAAAACAAAACATGATTTTGTAAATGACACATTGACAAATGAAAATAAGCATCTAAACTACAAAAAACAACTAACAAAACCAGTCTGCTAATCAGAGTCTGTTCTCTGCACCATTCAATAAACCAGCCTTGTTAAAAATGACCTTTACAATCCACTTCCATATCTCACCCTCACCCAATCAGATCGCAGCCCTGATCACAAAGAGAAAAAGCTGACTGGACCAGGACCCCTCCATTACCTGCCACTCGTCCAACCTACATAAAGAAGAGAACCAGCACAAAGGTTTTCACATGACTTTACTCATGCCCGCCTTTCATCACTGGACAGCTGATCGAGGGGAAATAACACAGAGAAAAAAAATGAAAACAATAAAAAGGCAAAAGATGAAAGGAAAATAATGAACTGTCAGTGCATTCCCCTCCATTCTCAACCATATGTGCTCATCTCCCACACGCTTTTGACTCTGCTCCGTTCTGTAGAGTTTCGATTGGGAATTAAGACTATAGAAATCAATAATCAGCTGACCAGTAGCTGTGGTTCTGCTATCTTATCTCCCATTCCTTTCCCCTCCACAGAGTTTCGGCATCCCCACCCAGGCCCAAGAGAGGGCAGGTGCTAAAAACAGCCCCGTCTGGACCCAAGGGAGCCAGCAGATTTGGCCATGCAAAACACGATCTTTCATCAATAACATCCACTTTTCCTGGACTATTACAGTCTGTTAAAAGCTTCATAAAGTATTTGAATCTCAAATGGCAACAGAATTCTTAACAGGAAAGACTACCCAAAAATGTAAATTTCTGTCATTTACTAACCCTCATGTTGTTCCAAACCCATAGGACTTAATCTTCAAAACTAAAAATAAGATATTTTTAATGAAACCTGAGAGTTTTCGGTACCTCCATTGAAAGTACAGGCAACTACAACTTAAAAGATCCTTGATCTTCTGGATTCATGTGGATTCGATTTACAACAGCTTTATGACCTTTTTGGATGTTCTAGCTCACTTTTGGTTACCTGGACTTTCAATGGAGGCACAGAAACCTCAGATTTCATTAAATATATCTTCATTAGTGTTCTGAAGATTAACCAAAGTCTTACAGGTTTTGGAACAACATGATGCCGAGTAAATGACAGAATTTTCATCTCTTTGTTGAGCCCTTTAAAGAGACTTTTTCTATATAATATAGAAAAAGTCTCTTTAAAGGACTCAACAAAGAGATGAAAATTCTAAGATTGGCCAAGGGTGGTTTAAATGCAATGAACAGATATCTTCTGATCCAACAGGACAATTTGAGATGGAAATAATTCAAAACTATATACCTGAACAGGTTACATACATAGAGGCTGCTTGATCAAACTGAAGAAAGCTAACAAGGTAGAAGTTACTTTCAACTCACCCATCCTCCTTGGCTCTGGATCCAGGGCTGAATTTTGTTGTCTAGGTAGACGGTCATCCAATCCGCGATGTTTCCCACTAGCGGGCTCATCTCCTTCTCCACGCACTCAACACACAGAGCCCCTCCGAAGGCAAACAGTCCCACGATGCGGCCCCAGTTGACGCCGTCGCGGAACACCTCATCCATCACGCTCTCGAAGCTCTGGTACGCTGTGGCAGGCGTGATGTGGAGCTGCGAGGACAGGTCGTTGAATGCTTGGGAATAACGCAGCTCAAACTCGTTGGCAGAATCGCGAAGCGCCTCCTTTACTGCATCCAGACCCCCAGTCCCGTTTGTCTGACGCTGGGGGGTTGAAGCGGGGGACCTTGGTGGGGTCCCAGTGGAACCAGTACTTGTTCCGTTCAGGGAGCCATTAACGAGGGTCGTCGTTCCTGCTGCCTCCTCATCATCATTCCCTTCCGCCGCATCAGTCCGATTTGTGTCTTCTGTAAATTCAATGTGATTGTAGGGGTAGTTCCTCTGTGAGAGTTTATATTTAATAAAAAATACCACCAGTTCTCGGTTATAGTAAGACATGATTCACGTCGTTGCTCGTCGTTCTCCGATGTCTGAATATCCACTCACTCGTTCTTAGAACACAGTGCACACCCTTGCGTCCTTCTCAGGCTTCTGCCGACGCTCAGGGATGGTGCAATGGCTCATACCCTGTGGTAAGACAACAGTGCAATGAATTGATCCGTAAATACGCAATCATTTTCACAAACAGGGAGAGGAGGGGGTCAGGGTGAAACTTTGGAAGAGGTTAAGGGGCACTGAAGATAAACAGGTTTTTTTTCACCCTCTAAAGCCCTCTTACTTAATGTAGAGGCTTGATCAAAGGAACAGATGGTAGCCTCTCATCACCTGCCTCCTATGAAAAACATGGACAATGTCCTCTCTCCACCTGTCCAAGACATGGCTAAATGTACACTGACCTTGACATGAGTGAATTTAAGCAGCAGGGGGCAAGAACAGCCAGCGTGGCTAGAATTATGATTCCCTCATTTCAACAAATCTATAACGGACCTCAATTGTGGTGCCAGAAGATCCAGCCAAGAGTCACAGACAAAAGATACCCAAGTGCTTTAAAATGTTGACAACTCAAGTATAATCTTAATGAATCTTAATGTATTTGTATAACCTTTGCTAAATAGAATAGACTAAAATTAATACATTAATTTATCAATCTGTGCATTCATTTATAATTACATATATGCGTTATTACAGATCAAATCTATACAATGTTTTGGAATTAAAACGTCTGATCAAGAGAATCAATCATTCTGCGACTATATATCTGGATACGAACGATAGATAGATAGATAGATAGATAGATAGATAGATAGATAGACAGAACCAGTAAAGAGATTTTTAAAAAACTGTATTATTAAATAAATTGATTAAGTGACTTTTTTGCTGATTTCGTCTTTTGTACGACATCACGAGCGCGGGGTGTTCACGCGGGGCATTATCTGACCGCTCCTGGGAAAAGCGCGAGAGTTCTCAGGAAACACTGGATCAGCCAAACACGTGCTGACAACAACGAGGCTCAGAGCACAACACATGGCCATTTCAGAGGCTGCTCATTTTGTCGCGGAAAAATTACCAAAAAATATATGTATTTTGTTACTTAAGAAATTCGGACACTCATTCTCTGTCCGAATATGACACGTATTGTCATTGCTTTATTCCACATGTAATATACATAACATTTACATATATAGTACATGATGTGGTCGCACTTACTGATTCGCTGGATTGATCAGCAGACACTTCCAATGAATGAATTATTTAAGATTCTAATAAGGAGACACTCGGTGTGTTTACAAACACAATGTCAACGCACAGCACAACACACATTCCCACAACCGCGAACGAGCGTGTGTGAATACCTCCCAGACAAAGCTATTCAGTGTTTTATGTCAGTGTTCTCAAGAAACAACATTTTTCTTAAAGGAAAGTCTACATACAGTAGTGGCTAAAATATAGATTTGCATTTAGACCAAAGCTTTTACCGACCAACTTGTTAGAAATGACCTAAAACAAAGTCTAACGTCAACATTTTTCTACTGTGTCTCACGTTATCGTGCTTATTGACAACGTTTAAGATAATGACAACACGGAGAGTTAAAAAGCACTCAGCTTACCAAAACACAGTCTGCTCACTCCTCGTAGATTAAGTCAACCAAGAAACAGCTCCAGAGAGGTTATGTGAATAATTATAGTTATAGATTAAGCAACAATATCAAATAGAAACTGCGGCAGATCAAACGTAATAATACTGCGTGTGTGAGGAAAAAAACGAGCCAGTGCTGGATATTTCTCTTCAAAGCAGACCTCCCCTCTCTGTGATAGGATATGATCACCTAAATGACGGTCACGCTGCCTAACCCAACCATTACGTAATAAAGGCTCCGTTCTAGGGCCCACAACAGAGGCCGAGCGGAAACAACCGGTCAGTTCTGTTGGGCAAGACGTATCACTTTCAGAGAAGCGATCGCACAGAATCACTTCAGTCCGAGAAAACGAACATAAAAGGACCAAATTCATAATTATTAGCCATATATGTCCGCTGATCACAAGCAGAGGGCGAGAGCTCTCCAAATGTCGCCCTGTCTATGCTGAGGAGAAACCGGAAGAAACACTGGATGTAGATTATTATAGCATTTCTTAATATTTTATAGGTCAGCATACAACTAGCATTTACGCATGTAAGTGAAATCTAACATCCCGTTATGTTTTATTTACGAATGAATGCAATACATTTAATGCATTTCTGCACGCATTTAAGTCATGATGAGAAACACCGTATGCAAGCAACAGAGCAAATTAATAACAAGCCCTATATAATTGATGGTTCTTGCTAGCCAAGAATGCATTTCCTGTAAAATCCAAGCCAACTACGTCAATCTTTCCCCCTTCGGCTAGTTAGCCGTGTAGCTATCGTCATGGAAGATGGACTGGCTGTACAGGGAAACGCGAAATCATTTGGATGCGGGTGTAAAGATAACGCTCCCGTTTCAAAAACGCATCGCAGACCTTTGGTACTTACTCGTATATTTGGAAAGGCAAATTCCTGATCTCCCACATGATCGATGTCGGCGTGTTTCTCCTCGACCAGAGCGCAGTCGGTATAGAGCCGCTGTCGGCAGGGCTTCGGTGCTCTGAGCAGTGAGCACTTAGCGGCGCTGGCTCAGTTCCACCCCTTCAGAGCTGCTCTTAAACTAAGGGCCTATTCATATATTACAGTACATCAGATGTGGACTGAGTATGCTGGCTTACGGAGTAACTACTTTACTCACTCCAAAGTCGTTCATTAAAGCTTAATGTCATTTAAAAAGCAACATTCTGTTATGTTTTAAAACGCTGAGACGCGCCATTCAGTGTAACTGCTACTAATACTGATGACTTAATCTTCACAAACTCGCAACTTTTACACATTATGTGGTCTTAAATTACTGATATAAATTCTGCTCAGTAGTTTTCTTCGTCTAACTACAAATATTTGGATATGTATACTTAACGGGCGGTAATAATGGGCATTTTAAATAACCGTAAACGGTTTGAGCTCACTAAACAAAGAGTGGCAGAATTACTATGGTAACCTTTGTTACCCCAAAACGCGCGTGATGCGTCTGTGACAGCGACACCCTGTGGCGCATGTAAACGAGTACAAATCTTCGCTTTTTTAATTAGAATGAAATCATTCATTTCATATGCTGGTGTTGTCGTGATATAAAGCATTTGTTTTCTATCTTTAAAGATTCAAGGAGCCTCCATCCAAGACTCTGTCAAACAATAGACCCCTATTATAAAAGAACAAACATTACTACATTATTTATGCATTTTAGATCGTTAGACAAAGTTAGAAATTCGGTAAGGGAAATGTCATAAAAATATAAGGAAACTCAGTTCCCCTCATTGAAAACCTGGAAGAAACAACATGTACAGTTGGAGAAAATTCAATGGTTCAGACTTCAAACTTTAATGATTACTTCACCAAATGCTTGTAAGATAACATCACAGTATGTATAGAGTCGAACATTATTCTGTATATTTTACATGAAAACTTTACACATCGTATTTCTTCATATACTATATATATTTATATTTCCCAGTCTCAATGGGAGGCAAAGTAGACATCCATAGTTGCAAGGAAAGGAATGCTTTTCAGAAAATATTTAAATGCACTTCAAGAATGAAATACATAATGAAAATGAATTGGGAGTTGAATCTGCACTGGTAATACACTAGTAAGTCATATGCTGCAGGGGTTTAATGAAGACATACCTGGATTATAAGGTACATTTGTATTCCTGTATTTCCCCCACTTCAATTGTTTTATGATAATGTGACTGGCATCCATCACATAAACTTGCTGATTCAGTCTAACTCCAAATCAAGAGCGAACAGCACTTGCAAAAATGAAATATTAAAAAAAGCAAACTTTAGTGCACTAAAATTAAATATTCATTAGATGTCTTAAGATTTCAATGATCAATCTCTCTCTCTCTCTATATATATATATATATAAAGAATGAAAAAAAAAAACCTTCAATAAATGCAATAAATTTGAATATGATGGAAACCAAATGAGCATGATGTGTGTCATGTAAGGAATGGTAGTGTCGGCCTGGCCTGGATTAGCAAGTGTAAGTTTTGACACATGTAAAATAAACACAATGCTTTGAAGGCAACCGTTACATTCTTAGGACAATTTGGAGTTTAGTGTGAACACATCGAAACCAAATTAAAGTCTTTTACCACAAACTAAAAGCATTTAAATGCAAAAACCTGCTTGAATGAATTTAAATCAGAGATGATTTTTTAATTGTATGATGAATCAATAAGGGACAATGAAAATGGGCCATTGTTGGACCTTAAATCCTTAAATATACCATTATTCACTGGCGCAAACTCATTGCACATCAGGTGTCTTTTACAAGCTCTTAGTAACGGGATGATTTCATTTCTGTATGTCTCTTTCTTCAGCCTTTAAAACAGACACAATTTTACAGATAGGACAAAAGGCAAAACAATGAAATCAACAGACAATCAAAAACCAGATATACAGCAGTACTGGTAATAAATTATTTTCTCAGCCATCCAAAAGAAAGTCAAAATAAAAATAAACAAATGACTCATGACTCTAACAACACAGACGAATGACACAGCAGAAGCGTCACCCTGCTGGGTCACAGTGCTGTTCTCTCATAGGGGAGAGACTGACGGCGTGAGTCAGGAACGGCAGGGGAAAGTATGGGACAGTCACACACAGTCATTCTGCGTTCCCGTACAGTCCTTCAAATCACAGCAGAGGCTTATACACGCAGACCATCCATCCACTTTACAGCCTCGCTTTCTTCCCAGTTCATCTCTGAGCTGTATTCCCAGTTCTGATCCGCGTTATGATGATGGTGAAGGCTGCGCTCTGCCCAATTCAGGAGCGGCGATGAGGAAGACGGAACCGATGCGAAGGAAAAATCGCCGCAAAGCAGCGCGAAGCTCCGGAATGAGGTCGAACTGCATCATCTCACACAGATGGTGGTAGTAGCAGGAGGCATGAGGCTTGAACTGAAAGAGAGATGACAATGTTAGGCATTCACGGGCTGACATCATTTTATTTGATATTGTTTTATTTGAAATTTAATTACATTTAATTTAAGTCTTAAAGGGATAGTTCTCCCAAAAATGAAAATTACCCCATGATTTACTCACCCTCAAGCCACCCTTATATGACTTCCTTCTTTCAGACAAATATAATCAGAGTTGCATTAAAAAATGTTGTGGCTCTTCCAAGATTTATAATGTCAGTGAATGGTGGTTGAGATTTTGAAGCACAAAAAAGTGCGTCCATCCATCAAAAAATACTCCACACACTCCGGGGGGTTAATCAAGGCCTTCTGAAGTGAATTTATGCGTTTGTGTAAGAAAAATATCCATAATTAAACCTCGCGTAGCCAGACCTTCAGACTGACGGCAGAAGGTCTGGGAACCTTGGCCACTTTGAATGGCCAAGACCCGCCCAAGAGGCCATATGACTGACAGCTAAAGCAACCAGTAACGTTTTCTTTTGTGCCACGTCATGTTTATGGTAGGCTTGCCGCGATAGACGGTGCTGACGGTGATACCGGTGTTAAGCCGCAACACCAGTTACGTCACTTGCCCACCGCGTCACCGACCCCCACCGTCGTTTTGATTTTTTATAGTAATAAAAATCATTTAGTTCAGTAAAAGAACAGACACTACAATTAAAAACTGAACGCGGCTGCTCAATGCAGCGTGCCGAACGACAGTCGCATCACAGATCAGATTTAATTTCTCCAGTGAGGAGAGTGAGTCGAGCTGACTGACAAAAAGAGTGGGTGAGACAGACAAGACGATCACGGATGATTTAGTTTCGAAACTAGATGAAAAAGCGCCTGTTTGGCAATATTTTGGATTTTGAAAAACCTGTTGATTTTGCCGATAATCTAAGGAGATTTTGGTAGTTTTTTTAAACATTCGTTTCTTATTTAACCCTTTGAAGCGTACGATCTCACCAGTGTGATTAGAACTTTCAGTGCGTCACGTCATCAACTGCTGAATTTAAATCCGCTTTCACGCTTTGCCTGGCGCGGAGTCAGATTGGACGCGCTGAGCGCTTGTCATATTATCACAAATATTCAGTGTTTTCAACCATATAATACTTATTTTAGGTTTCAGACATTTAAATACACATAAGTACTAGCAAAACCATACATTTACAGTTTGTAAAATGCACGCTGATGTTTATGGAAACGGCAATAATGATCCTTACAAATATAATCTGACGACATGTTTTTATTGATATCATATACAGATTGTGTAGGTAACTATAAAGTTTACTCTGCTCTTCTCCCAGTTTACCGGAGACCTACTTTAACGTGTTTCGGGAGGAGAGGATGAATTTGCGTGTTGTAAATCCCACAGCTCGGATGCAGCGCGAACTAACATGATGGCGCCCATCACCCGGTATAAGCTATTTAAGCTATTTAAAAGCGAAGGAAAGCGAGGAAAAGAGGGAAAATTCAAACGAACTAAAAACGAACAATTGTTTTACTCCGAATTGCCGCTATTTGAAAGTGAAAGTAAAATGTGCACGCCGCTTTTACAAGCTATTTAAAAGCAAAGGAAAGCGAGGAAAAGAGGGCACACCCCGCCCCCGCGGTGATACCGGTAATACCGGTGTTGTCACACGTCGATTAGGGTCGCAACCCTAGTTTATGGGCGTTACCCCACAGTAACAGACCAGTGTGTAAAACTCTTGGACATATTTGAAACATTCTATGCCGTGCACTTTAGATATTTCACATACTTTTGAAAATCCAGCTTGTAGTTGATCCTAAAAAGTGCTCATCATCATAGCTG